TTACCCCTAAATTTAATATCTTAAAAATTTAAATATTTATTATTTTTAAATTTTACCAAAATAATTCTCCATATTATATTATTTATATTAAATTAAAATAAATTAATATAAATTATATATTATAAATTTCAAATCCAAATATTTTTTATTTTCCATTTACCTATCTTATATTTTATTAATATAATCATTTTCAAATATAAAAATATCATTCCATTATACAATAATTTACCAAACATATATTAAAAAACCTCAAATCCTAATATTTTTATTTCATATATTTTTATTTTAAAATTTATATAAATAATTTCCCATATATATATTTATAATCCCTAAATTAATATTCCAAAATCAAATTACAAAATTTCGAATCCTAAATTTTTCATTTCATATATCTATCAATATCCCAAAATATATCACACATATATACCACATATAATATACAAACAATTCGGCTGAATCTAATATAAAAACATTTTCAACATATATTTTTTTCGGTTACTGTATCTTTTTAATTTTCATAATTTATTTAAATCAACAATTTAATAAATATACATTAATCAAAATATAAAAAATTAAATATTTAAATAATTATTATTTTCTAAATTAAATCAAAAAACATATTTCCAATTATCTAATTTTATCCAAAAAATCCAAATAAAATAAATAATTTATTATATAATAAACAATAATAATAATATTCTAAATCATATTTAGGAAAAAAATATATATAATAATTATTTATATTCGAATATTATACTATTTAATTATATTTATTTAATAATTATATAAATAATCCAAATATAATAATATATTTTTTTAAAATTATTCAAATTAAATAACATCCTATTTACATATATTTATTTCTAGATTATACTTATTTATTTTATATTACTACCCCACAGCAACAAAACACATATTAAGACGATGTTCCCGGTAAATTTCCCGCATCCAAACCAAATTTTAGATCGATCGGAATAAATTTCCTAAAATCGATTATTTTTCATGTCAAAATCAATATCACAATACATAAACTTTTTAAATTTATATGCAAAAATCATCGTTATAAAGCAAATAAAACACAAAACATATTACTTTTCTCTTTTCTTCCTCAACAATTGGAACCTTTCCCAAAGGCATGTCAAAAAAAATAAATTACTAAAATCTATTCTTATTATTAGCCTATCTGTTAATTAACTTATATATATATACAGATACTATTTAGTACATATATATATATATACGTATATTTATTGAAATATTTTAGATTAGGAATCATTTGAAATGGAATAGTTGAATTTGTTACCGGAGCATGGTTTAGGGTTCAGTGATTGGCTTTTCTGCAATTGCAGAATTATCAATCATTGCAGATTCTCCTCCTGGTTGTGCCTTCGCAATGGATTCAGACCCATCATATTTCTTTTAGATTCTTTTGGGTTGTTCATGATCGGCAAAAAGAATGTTGCGCCAGGTCTCTTCCAAGAGAAAATATTCTGAAGATCGAGCAAATATATAAAAATGTATTCCTGCAGATCATGTCTCTCCTATCCATAAGAGACAGAAAGGCCTCGACAGCCGGAGATTCCGCAGCTTCCTTCAGCTCCTGGAACTGCCCCGAAACGTGCGTGCGTGCTTTCAACGTCAAAAGCAACGGCTTTCAACGTCGAAAGCAACGGCTTTTTTTGGGGACTGGACAACAAGAATACAGGACATTTTAATATATTTTGCCCAGAAGTTGAGTGTTTCGGAAAGTGACTTGGCAGAAAGCAGCAATATCGTACAATCGTATACAATCCATTGGGCTCCAAAAATCAGAAGGGATGGACATTCACCTTTGCCAACCCATCGTCAGGTAACAGTGGCCATGACTCGCATTCGATTGCGAGTCCTGTCCTTCGTAGCTTCTGGCTCTTTGGGTTGTGAATCCTGCTGCCTTCCACTGGCCTCCTGTTGTGCATCTGGGATGGGCTGCTCCATTTTCTGAGGCTCCTCAACCTTTGGAGCAGGCGGCTCCTGCGTCGTGCGGCAATATGGTGCAGAGCCTATATATAGATATATAGATATATAGATATATAGATATACATAGATATCGATATATAGAGATATAGATATGTAGCTATGTAAATTAAGATATATAGCTATAAAGATATATAGCTATATAGATATATAGATTTATAGATTTATAGATATATAGATATATAGATATATAGATATATAAATATATATATAGATATATATATATATATAGATATATAGATATAGATATATAGTTATATAGGTATATGGAGGTACATATGTATATATATATATAGGTATGTAAATATGTAGATACACACCATGGCGAAAAAACGAAACAGTGGACGTATCAACATGTTCTTTGATACTGTCTTCTTGCATTCTTCTGAACATCTTAGTGAAAAGGGTAATTGCCGCTTCAGCATTGTAACTTGTTGGCACCAAATGGTAGCTCATGACAGTTGACTAGCCAACCTGATCCCAAAAAATATGTCCAGGGTTTAACCACAACGGACGAGTGATTCTGATCTTCAAGCAGTTCCAATCGGCATCAATTGCAATAAAACAACAGGGCAGTGTGAGTGATTGAGTAAGCACATCAGGCAAATAGTGTCTGTACATGGCCTTTGCGTCCTTCTGCTTTTTCTGCTCGGGCTGGTCCTGTCGATCAACATGATCGAAATGGGAGTCTGATCCGCAAGAATTGCAAAGAATCTCTGCACTAAGTTAGTCACTAATAATATCATCTGGAAACCAGTTCCCGGTGCCACACATACTGCTACTATCGGCATCCCATCACCGGACCTCCACAGCTCTTTGCGAATGTCCTGGCAAAGCTGCACGGCCCAACATTTTGGGCGCAGTGGTACAAGTACATGTAGACTTGATGCAATGCAAGTAGCCTCTTGGTGAATCCGATTGACATGCAAACATTCAAAGATCAATGGTGCACAAAATCGTACAAGGAAAAATAGCTATCCCCAAATGGGTTTGAAAAAGTTACTTTCTTCGAGCGATCCCGCCCTGAAACACTGTTCTGCCATAGTTTCTGACATACCATCTGGAAGTATATATGGCATATTTATTTATTTTGACATTCTATCTGACATTCTATCTGGCATAGGCGCGGAAAAACATTCCCAATAATTTTAGTAAAGCAATCGTAAACCATCCCCAATTTTACCATAAATGGGTGCTATAACGCATCAACATATGACTGGTTTATTGTTGCTTTACCAACATTGAACCAGGTAGGTGAAATTCACCCGGCCTGAACTGGACAAAGGGCTTGGCCGGTCCACTTTTTGGATGTGCCAAAGGGTCATCAGCTGCAGGCACCGGCGAGTCCCATCAATGTCTGTGCAATTTGATCATGTTTGATACATTTTGATAGCCCTATTTTGACGACAGAGATATGTGTGACATTGTTTGACATCATTTCGCACTGAGACGTACTGAAACTATCCACGGAACGCTGCTTTGTTTTCCTCAACAAGTTGCAAGAGACACACACACACACACGCACGCTGAATGGCTTGAAGACAAGACACAAACATCCATAGAAATGTCTCTTTTTGTAAATAGAAAAGTTGAAACTTCCAACGCTTGGATCGCCTCTGGATCACCTCTGTACCCGTGTAGGGTCATTGTTGCCTCGGATGGTCAGTTTCTGCCCATAGGATCCTCCAGAACAGCCTATGTTCTGCAGAGGGGGAACATCGGGGAAAAACAACTTATTGGTTGCGTACTTCCCTTGCCTCTACCTACAACATCCTATAACATCTTATAACATCCTATAACCATTGAGAGGTATAGCATCATCTGCACCTTGCGGAAACCTGGGTGAACATTCTTCCACCCGAAGGGGACATGTTGCACACTCCAAATCGTTGCTTTTACACGCCACAGCATGAAAACTTCGGAGATTCCATCACGGAACCATCAGCTTCAAGAATCTCTTTGTGATCTATGATATATGTTGATATATGATGATATATGATGCTATATGATGCTATATGATGATATATGATGATATATGATGATATATGATGATATATGATGATATATGATGGTATATGATGATATATGATGATATATGATGATATATGATGATATATGATGATATATGATGATCTATGTATGGTACATGCTGGCTAGTATCATTGGGACAGGATGGAGCCCAAGTTGGGGAAAACACTCACACCTTTGATCGAAAAAAATGAGCAGATCTGGTTCTGTCACCAATCAATGCATTTGCTGGAGAAGGTAATTTATATGAACGTGAATGATGAACAATCATGATGAAGCACGCATCTAAAGACTCAAAAACAGTAAGTACAACTTACAGTTATAGCCAATGCCAAGAACGGCATGAGTATGCATCGTTGACCATTAAAACACATAAACTCTGATAACACGTGTATAAACGCTTCTTGCTGTGAAAACAACATCCTGGATAGGCGGCTGGGGCATCTCGTTGGCTTCGCCAAGTGCCAAGATACCTCGAATTCGACCCAGTCGCCAGGTGATAGCTCTGAGATCTGGCACCGGGCTGCGCTTGAAATTGCGATGCAAGAGCGGTGCATCTCTGCGTAGATTAAAGATACTGTATGGGTTTTGCATGGTTTTGCCCTTTTAATATCTTTTAATCAGATCTTTTTCACTTTTTTCACCAGTCCACAGCTCTTAGAGAGTCTGACTTCCAGCTGCAAGGCATCCATCGCACCTCCTTGTTCAGGCTATCGCTAAATAGCAACGCAACGTCGGGTAAATCTCGACCTCGCAGCCAAGCGGCTGGTCTCCTTTCATCATCGCAGCGAGAAGTCTTTGTGGTTGCAACGTGATTGCTACAGTATCAAGTATACCCATAAAATATCCATATATATATACATATTATATATATGTACAACATAGCTGGTTCTACTTGCCCATATCAAAGGATATCAAAGGTATATTCTACAATAACCTGCTCTACACTCATTTATCATTCGCCCTCCAAGTTCCCAGCGAGGGAAGCGCGATGGATACATCCGAACCTGAGGCACCAAAACAGTGCCTGTTTTATAGACAGTCAATGAATGAAGGGTCAAGCGATCTTCGTTCTTAGCTGGAAAATGTCTAGTGTCTACTTTCAGCTTTCTCTCTTGAATATGATCAGAAAATATCAGAGATATGAATCATTCATAATCATTGTAAATATCATTCATCTCCGTTGCTATCCTTTGATGAATCTCTACTGGAACATCCAGGCACCAAAAACCTTGACCTCTCAGCAGGACACTGGGGCCATTCCCTGGTGTCCTAACAAACTGGACGAGGTTCGGCCAAGAAAGGGGCTGCCGTATTCAAGGATGATTTCAAACAAACAAGGCCATTGTTTTGACATGGACTATATTTTGGCAACCTGCTGAAAGGTTTCCAAAGTCTGTTCGAGGAACCACTTTTGCATTAATTTTGGAAGGTAAAACTTCTGGGAAATGCTCAGCATGCAGCCCAATGGGTCGAATGCATTGGCAATATCTTGTGTAAGCCAAGGCACCATCAGAACACTCTTGGTGCGAATAAAGAAGACCTCAAAGCCTTCACGGATGACGCGCACCTGTCAGGGAGGACCAAGGGAATGTCGCTCTTGGGGAGTGATTCTTTGGCCATTGCAAAACGATGTAGAATTGAACACACATGTAGTTTGTCTCATATACAACACATAATATCTACGGGTATATATATATAATCATGTATATGTAAATATATATATATATATCGTATACATATATATATACACTCATTACACATATATCTTTATCACAATGAGTATATGTTTATCTTGACAAATACAAAACGTACATCGCTTCTTGCAGTCCAATGTGTCAACTCGCCTCACCCTGCCATGTGAAGGTCCGGCGTCTGTACCTCAACTCATCTGCCGCATCTGGCTTTGGGTATATCATGGTGACAATTGTGGAGTATATGTATGTATATATATATAAATAAATTTAATGGGATATGGGATATATGATCAACACTGATCTGTGGGTGTGTCTGAACATGTTGGATTCACCAATTCACGGCAATCTCAATAGGAAATAGTACTGTATTTCCATGACCAAATCAGCGGATGCACTGCAAAAGAATCCAGCTGATTCCCACGAACACAGCTCAATCTATTTCACGCATGCTTAGATTTAAAGACTTGAGACCAATAATTAGTAAAATACACATGTACTTACATTTACATTTACATGTGTTCATGTAGTACAGAAACGTTCGCTTCAATAGGTGTCGAGGTCCATGAAGGGTAAACCATCTCTTGAAAGCTCGGCGGAGACAAGGTCTCAAACCTGAAATTACATGAATCTACTGAAAAAAAAATCCATCATCACATCATCATCAATATATAATAATATATCTAAATGATACTGTACCAACACTACTAAGAATATCAAACATCATCGTCATCATCGTCCTCATCGTCATCATCATCATCGTCGTCTTCGTCGTCATCATCATCATCGTCGTCATCATCATCATCATCATCATCCTCTTTTCGGATCTTTTCAGTGCCAATTCCTTCAAGGATGAACACTTCCCAGCGCTTTTCGCTGGTGTGACACTGGAGATGTTGAGATCGTGCAGGTCTTGGGGCCCGTGGCATCTTCAAACTGTGACGTTGCTCCGAGTCAGTGCCCAAAGAAGTAAGGTACCCAAATTTTCCAAGAGATTGACCATATTTTCCAAGAGATTTTTCTGATTCACATATTCCAAAACAATTTATCAGAATACTTATTTTCTGAATATTTACTATCTTGAACATATTGTCTATAATATTTTTTATCTGATTCAAGCATATTCAAACGACTACACAACCAATTTTTAAGGATTGCTTTCAATATATTGTGGGCCCTGGACAGGCAAAATTGGGCAGCATGCCGAGGATCAAAAACGATTGCTGGCTGTACAACCTATACATATATACATACATAATCCTACAGGGTCTATGCCTTTGGCATGGATACAACTTGCTTTTCATTTCTGCAAGTCCTCGGTTTGCAAGAAACTTGGCCATAGACAACTGGTCTGCATGGCTGTCGGATGTCGTAAGAATCCATATGCAGCTGCTGGAATGAGACCATCAACGATTCAGCCAAGAATCTGCCATCTTTCGAGACTGGCCCATCTGGCACATGATTCACGGCATGTTTGGATATTAAGAATGTACGGGGCAGGTCAAAACCTTGGTACAATGATGGGCACTGCTTAGACATGGGGTAATTACTTCGTGTTAGATAAATACCCATTCAACAACCGGAAAACACATTATGGTGCCTTGTTTACTGGTGTTTGGTTGTTGGGATATGATACAACTACAGTATATACAACTACTCTACCAACCAGCGCTTAAGTCAGGTGGACATTAGAACACAATTTGAGCGTGTTAATGGATATCATTTTAATCCCTTTTGAAGTTGTAGAATCCCAGTATCATCCATTTCAGTTTCGGATTTTCCATTAGAATTAAACCAACCAATTTTATAGGATCCACCATTTATTGAATCCCCGGAGGGGCACATTGCTCCACCTAGCCTCTGGAATGCACCTGGCTCGCATGGTGATTCACTTCTTTGCCTGACGCTGAGATGAGTCATGTTTGCTGAGACTTGTTTAGTCCAAATTAAAGGCACACAAGTTTATCATTATTTATCATGTTCATTGTGTGTCATTTTTCATTCGTTCTAATGTCTTTGCCCAATTTCACCAAATGTCATTCTCTGAATTTGTGCCAACGTATCCTCAGGATCTTTATCTCAAGATTCGCCGGCACGACGCCCTGCCTTGGCTTTGGCCTTGGGAGCAAGGCGAGGCGTTTTGGTGGTGCGCACCGTGCGAGCCTCTTCGTCTGGCTCAGGGCGGACCTGGAGGAAGCGGAAGTACCAGGCGTAGATTTTGTGGGAACAAACCGTTTATAATTGATAGTAGTTTCATGCAATTCAATGCAACAAGCATATTAAATACGTTTAAATAACTGTATATTGAATATGTATATATATATATATCATAATATTATATATAGCATTATATATATATATATCATGCATATATATATACACATATAATATGATACATATATATAATATGATATATAACATATAACATGATATATATATCCCATTATATATATAATATGATATATATATAATATAATATTCATATAATATGATTTCTATAATATGATATATATATATGTATATGACATATATATATATATGATATATGGTATATATATATATATGATATATGGTATATATATATGGCATATGATATATGGTACATATGTATGATATATAAATATGTAGAATGTAGTCACTTGGATTTGGATTATAAGTCTTTTACTAAGTAGAATGCAAATCCAAAGACCAACATTAAACATGGGTCTGGTGTCAATTTTGTGGGTACTGTACCCATCCCAAAGTGAGTCTCAAGCCTTCAAGTAGTAAAGGTGGTGCAACTTCACATCACCACCTTCTCGAGGATGCCGCTCCAAGGGATTTTCTGGCCTCAGTGCCATCCGCTGGGTGCCGGTGCCACAACGACAGCTGAAGGCGCTGAAGGCGTGGCTGGCAATTCTCCCAGCGTTTTTTGCCCAGCATCTCAACCTGATGGCTGGAAGATATTGGAAGATGGAATCAAATTAAAATTTAAATGATTTAAACCTTGATTTTCCCAGCGAACAAAAAACCTCCATTTGCTTCATTTGCTTCGGCGATTTTGGGATCTTCCATTGCCATGTTTGATTACCGGAGGGTAATGGAGCTTCAAAGAGATCTGAGGATAGTTCTTGACACGTTAACCCCATGGTCATCTTAGGTCTTAGGTTCTTGTCAAACATCTGGTCCCTGCATGTCCCCTGCAAACATGGGGAACGTTGTTACCAGTAAGGGCTGCACTCTGCCAATCTGCCTGTAGAACCGAGTGCCAGCCCAATGGAAACCTTCTCAGACCCTGACCCAACAGGTGTCGCTGCGATTGTCGGAAATGGTCATTCCAGGGTGCTGACCTGGCGACAGGCAATCATAAAATCAGCGCCAAATCCTGAAGCTAAGGATCAGTGGCCAAAACATTCCTTCTCATACTCATCGGGTCATTGGGATTTTGATATATTTTGAGAGCACAAATATAAATCATATAAAAACATCTTTGATTTTGGCCACTGCTCCTCTACTGCTGTTGGACATTGCGAATCTCACTGGCAAATCTTTACAGGAAGGATCAGGAAGGGGACAATGTCATCCCCATGCGTCCCTTTTGTGCATTCCCGCATGTAAATGCAACATTTAGGAAGTCGTTCCTTAGTAATCCTCAATTTAGACAAAACAGACGACTTTGTCATTTTCCTGTATGATTTCTATGCAATTCTATGCTGTGCACTTTGATAGCATCATGTTTACACTACATAGTCCTCTTTGTCTTGTTGAGATCAACGCTTCCCTGAAACACAATTTCTTTGTAGGAATTCGGAATACCCCTACACCGAAAAAGGACCCGGCAACATCTGCATCACAGGCAGCGGGCTGGGTTCTATGTTATAAGCTCGACCTAATCATATTCCTTGTTCTGGTTCTGATGGGAACCACCCCACCCCTGAATGATCAATCATATATTGACCTTGACATAGTTTTTTCATATTTTCTCCCATAGTTGGGTATGCGTCAAATGAACACGAACTATAATATTTAGCGAACACGAACACAAATTCTAGGTCCAGTGGTACCGAAATTACTTGACCCGTACCCATGTCATATTGCTGGTAAAATACCATATATCCACGATATATCACAATTATGTCGATGGTTGTTCACTTCTGCTTTTACTTTCACTATACCAACCCCCACAAGCATCAACGCGTCAAAAAATAACACAAACTAACATAGTGATATATTTATTACATATATCATACTATTGATGTAAACTAACTACAGTAGTCTAACATTACTGAAATACTTATATATATATATATGGAGGTTCCTAAAATGGGGGTACCTCAAAATGGATGGTTTATAATGGACAATCCGAAAATAACATGGATGATTTAGGGGTACCCACATGGATTGGAAACCTCTATATATAACCTCCATATATAGAAATATAGATATATACATACTGTGTATATATAGGTACCCGATCGTCAAATCACCCCCCTTGTTCAGGTTGGCATGATCATGTCTGCTTTCCATCATCTGAAATCAGCGCTTGACATGGTGTTGGAGACCGATACTTTCGAACTCCGACAGGTCATGCATTTGCTTGCTCCTTGCCAGCGGCAGAAGCTCATGGATGTCTTAATCATCATGGCAGGCCCTTTTGGCCCAGGTTGTTTTCTCCGGACATGACTCATGTCTGCGATGTCACTCAGGATCATTTTGATCGTTTCTTTTACGGTGTGCGGAGCATGGCACCAATGGGTGCGTGGCTGCCGTGGTCGGAGGTGATTGCGCTTGCAAGACCGTTTGGCTTCAGCGAGCATCAGTGCAGGCTGTGTGCTGAGTTCTGGCGGTCAGTGGACGCCTTAGAAGTGGATCCGCCTTGTTCGGACGTGGCGGCCGTGGACACTGAACATGGGATTGCACGATTGCGTCTTGTTTTCCATCGTGACATCATGGGAGATGATGGTTTGGTGCTGGTGTCTTCAGATGAAGAGCTGCCTGTTGAAGAAATTGCAGTGGCGTCGGACGAAGACATGCCAGTTGCCACGGATGCCACATTGGTTCGGCGAAGCCGATAAATTCGTGGCCGCAGGCACAGTGCTCAGATGGAAGCTCGAACAAGATAACTGAGAAAGTAAGTGTCTTCGTTGCTGCTTCGTTTATAGGGTGATTCAAAGGAACTCTATTGGGAAGTTTGATTCCAAAGAAAAAAATCAAGAAACAAATCCAAGATTGTATGTTTCGAGAAAGACATTTCGTATGGGAAAACACAGTGTTTTCATGCATGGATCATGATTCGCGGGGGTGAAATTGCTATCGCGCGCCTATATATACATACAATATAATACAATATATATATAATACATATAATGTAAAATGCTTTTCTATACATATATATATATATATTATATATGTATATGTATATTTGGGGCTCCCCATGGCCAACGCTGAAGCTCCAGGCCTGGCATTTCGCGCAGGCTCGTGAGGTGCTTCAGCTGAGGCCGCGTAGCCTGTGGTTTCACAGGATTTCACAAGTGAAAAATGGGGGTTGACCAAGAAAAATAGGGGTTTAACATGCTTTAGCTATGAACAAATGGACATTTCAGCAATCAAACATTGGGGACGGAACCAGTGTGAAAACACTGGGGATTCAGCATGATTCAGCATGATTCACCTTGGGATTTGACCAGTGAAAATTGGGGATGAAAACAAAGAAAAGTTCTCAATTTAGCCAGGAGATTTCATGGGGTTAGGCCACACATTCTCGGTTTGTCAGTCTAAAAATGGCTTGCTGTGGGAAAATGATGAGAACCTTTGGATCCCAACTAGATTTGGAGTTCCAAAGTTTGAGCATTCTATCGGGCAATGTCCCAGACCCATGGAAGCCCAGGATTTGTTTATTCCAACTCTGGTTGCAAGAAAAATCTCAAGGCTCATTCCGCCCAAACTGCTAGAGAACTCCAACGCTAATTACGGAGCAATGTGTGCCTAGAGTAGCGTCCTTGTCCCATTGATTGCGTGAATAAGTTATTTCTTCCAAGCGAGCACTGACATTAGTGGCCGTTCAACAGGCTGCATGCTTCCCGTGGTGGACGGGTGCCACAACCCTATCATATCTTATCACTGTGAACCAACGAGGAGCGGATGTGTTCCAGCTATGATTGGTTGATACCCTGTTATAATGATAGTAACAGTATGTAACAGTAAAATAAAAATAAATAAATAAATATATAAATAAATATATATATATATATAATTATATAAGATGTACTAATAATTATGTAAGAACAATGTACAAACATATGATGATATATGATATAGACATAGAATATCATAGAATGATTTTAACGACCTGGGTCGTGCAAGCCATCCTGGATTGCTTTGTGAAGCTTCACAAGCTACGCATCGCCAAGCAACGGCGGGTTTTGCTTGGAAGATGTGCCGCCACTGACCAGCCTGGTTCAGCCCACTATTTCTGAACTTTGGGTGAATGCATGCAGATTCACTTTCATAGTTTTTTCACCACACCTTGGTTCCAGCTCTGATACAAGAAAACAAGCACAGTCAGTGACTCAGTGAGTTTCTCTGCACATAGGGTAGCCCCAAAGTCGGATCATCACAAATAGCGATGCATTTCCACCGGGGGTCCATTAAACATGGCAACTTTCTTCAGCGCAGCCTGTGCTCCTTCACAACCTTTGGCCCTTTCAAAACCTGCCAGTGTACACATCTGATCCAACTGATACGGAGAGTCCGCCACAATGAGAGCTTACTGAACCGGGGACACCAACATCATCCAAACTTGGCCATATTTGGGAAAACCACTGGCGATAAGGGGTCCCCCGTTAGAAAAAAACTGATCTCAAGCATTGGCCAGTTTTACTGATAGACATGAGGCAAAATTTAGGATGTACGTCCAGGAAGCCAAGGATAGGCTCTGAACAAAAGGACTGAAACCAAGCCACTCAAAGGCGCGTCGCGAATGGTCGCACATTTTATGGCACCTCAGATTGCACACTTCCAAGATCGGCAATTGTGGGGACTTGAGTTTTTGGTACCTTTCAAGCGCCAATCAAGTCTGCAACCAAGAGGAATGCCTTACCAGACCCAAATCCAGGGAAAGAAAACTTCCCAGCTTGGCGCAGTAGCCTATTATCTTGACCAACAAAAACAGACAGGTGAAGTGCGGCAGAAACTCGGTATGTGATCATTTGATGATAGCTGTGTACTGCGGAGTCACTTGTCACAACCCGCAATTTTCCATGAATCCTACACAAGCCTCTGTGAGACAAGCAACCTATATTTCGATCGAAGCTGTGATCAAAGGGAGTTCCAAGTCTTCTCTTGTAGGCCTCAACAAGAAAATGCTGATGTGAAACTCAACAAAGCTAAATAGAAAACTAGATCTACCTAGACTCCTAGACCCTCCAAAAACATCAAAAACAATGACCATGGCTACATTACCCAGTTTATAAGGTCAAATTATCCCGATCTGTGCAGTTCAATGGCCCATGCCTCATTCTCTGGGGTGCAGTTTCGAGCAATCGCATCAAAGCTGGCCTGCAAAATCTGCCCAATGTATCCGAATGTGCCATGGCTGGTTGGTAATTGAGCCACTGAAACAGATGAAGTGAACATAATCCATTGAGATCATTATTCCATTTGATGCAGAGGATAAGTTTAGAAACATGCACGGCAACCGACTGAGTCTTGGTCTGGCTAAATCTATCCCAATCGCATCCTTTTTTAGGAGCCGCTGATTTGCGGCATTGTAAAACGGCCTGCTTCCGAGTGAAGTATCTTCTCCAGCCCTCTTCTGGCTTGCGGCAAGCACCACCACGAAGATTGAGCTGCCAGTCCTCAAAATGGGAACTGGATGGGAACACATGGGCCCCATATAAGCGCACATCAGTTAGGATCATCTTGATATATCTTGATAGGGGGTTCCATCTTGAATTCTCATTGTGAATCGAACAAGTCGTATCCGTGGCCAAGGCGGCCAAGCATCCACAGTGTGAGGACGGCTGCCTGAACTGAGTCGCACCAGCCTGGTGCTGAGAAACTTTAGCAGTCATGAAGTGTACCCAAAATGGAGGACGTTGCAGCACTTTGGATGATTTTGGTATGAGTTTGGTCGATCTTTTTCATTGATGGCTGTTCTATGACACATAGTCCAGTCTTTGATCAGTTACCATCACTTCAATTCTCGTATTCAGCCAACCACGTCAAGTGGGTGAGGGGGATCCAGGCAAGCTAATGTAGGAAGACATGCAAAAAAAGCCTTAGGATTCACGCTGCTCTCTGAGTATATAGGCAACTGGTATCTCAATGAGCTGATGAATTATCAATGCGTTCCTTGCGGTTCTCAGATAGTATCAGATGAGGAACACCCACCAAGTTGGGGGCCAGCCACTCTTAAACCCCGGGACTCTGCGATCAGGGCAACACTGTTTTTCGTCGGCGTAGCGCTATTCAAACCACAATTCAACAAGAGCAGGACATCACTGGACTCAAAAGACCAGTGGCATGGATTGCACATCAGTCATGTTTGGGTGGTGGGTGTCAAAGATCTTCCTGCCCTCCTGGGACATGTCGACGTTTCTACTTGTGTGTTGTGGATCCATCAATTGTTTGATGCCGTCGAACAAGCAAAGCAGTCCGAGGAGCAAAATCCATCCAACTGTCAGTAATGATGGCATATCCACCGACCGGCCAGAGCGGTTGGAAGGCAAAATCTTTGAGTAAATTAGAACCACAGCTGGAAGCAGCAAATTCATCCAAACACCAGCTGTGCTGGTCAGAGTTAGCATGAAGATTCGAAATCGTGCCTCACCTGTGGTCAGAGGAACTAGAACGCATGGCAAGGCAAACAATAAAGTTAAAGCAGCTTGTATGGCATATGGAGCAGCTGACAAAGGAACCTGGTCAGTTTCTCCAACCTCGCCTTCGGCCTCGCCTCCGGGCCGCCTTTGTCTCTGGGCAAAAAAAGTCCACACTTGGCTCTTGCAGGGAAGAATCACCAAAGGAAGACCCAAGCACATCATGACAGCAAATCCTCCTTGCAAAATGCTGGTCCAGAGATCTGGACATTTTTGCTGGTAGACTCTGAAGATATCGACTTGAACAGAACTACCAAAAGCTGCATAGCCGGACAAACCCACCACCAAAAAGATCACGGATTGCATCGAAACAGCAATGATGGGGCACCAGCGTGATGCCTCCAACTGAACTTCTGGTTTCACATCCGCTACCAGTTGTGGCATAATTCCTGAGTTCGCCAAACTGCCCATCAGGATGCTACCTGTGCGAAAGAAACCCCGAGTGTTCCATGCCGAATGCTGCGAAGGAACAATGTGGGCGCTCCAGGTGAGAAGGCCCTTGGCAATGGCTGCCAACACCACAACGGCTTTGACGAAGGTATTGCAGCTGTTGATGCATCGAGATAGGCGTCCGGACAACTGTGCGGGAGAACATACGACATAAATCATGACAAAGAGGGGAAGGGCCAAATGCCACTGACTTTGACATAACCAGGCATCTCCGTTTGATGCGCACAACACTGGGCAGAGCTGACCTTCCAAGAAAGAGTCCAAAAAAACATAATAGAACCCGCCACATGTCCAAAGGTAGATCAACCCACTCCAAATGGTAGTTTGCCTTGCCCACGCGGGGATTTTTTGGCACATCTCCTCAAATGTGGTTGCTTTGCAATCCATACTTGCTCTCATCAAAGTCTGTTGTTCTACAATTGCTGTAGCAGTTGCGATCAAAATCACAAACATGAATCCCATATATCCGGATAAACCTGCTGCATAAGCCACAACTGACAGCGTTGCTCCAAGGCCAGCGTTGAAGGATACCAAGGTGGCTTCGGGAAGACTCAAACCTGAACTCTACCAGATGACCCTAACTACAAAAAACATTTTGGAGTACAGCACTGACATGCAAGTTTTACACATATTCACATGTATATATATATATATGTATATTCCTATATATAATATTAGTAATATTTAGTAATATATATATACATACATAATTACATATGTGTATATATTAATATAGTTTAATATATATATATATGTATGTTCGTATATAGGGCGGATAATTATATATTTTTTTTTCGGATTCCCGTTCCCTTATATCTGCAGCATTTAGAAGGTATAACCTTGGTTTTCACGTGGTATTTGAACGATTTTGCAGTTCTTATGCTTGTTGGGTAGGGGGTGGGAGGGGTTTGTCGTTGTCTTTGTCATTTAGGGACTTAGGTGTGGGGGGTGAAGGGGTGGGGTTTGGGGGGTAAGGGGCTTGAAGGTTATAGATGATGCTGATGCTGATGCTGGTGCTGATGCTGATTCTGTTGTGTTGTTGTTGTTGTTGTTGCTGTTGCTGTGGTTTTTGTTGTTGTCGTGAAGAGAAGAGAAGAGAAGAGAAAAGAAGAAAAGAGAAGAGAAAAGAAGAGAAGAGAAGAGAAGAGAAGAGAAGGGAAGGGAAGGGAAGGAAGAGCAAGAGCAGCAAGAGCAAGAAACTCAGGCAATCTCATTCAGAGACTACACAGCACCCAAGCAGAAGGGAGAGAAGCATCCAAGCACAGGCGAAGAACAGGAAAGAAACAAAGAGGCCAACAACATTAAAGATGTACAAGGGTTAAAGAACCAGGACCATATGTGTTAGGGTCAAAACATGGTATATAATGTATGATCATCCATTCCATAATGGCAATCCTTATCATGGGTATACAAATCCCTATGAATGGATTCATGACAAATTTCTTTTATGGGAAAGTGACCAATGTTTTTGCCATGGCACATCAAACACAAAAAAGTAGAGAAATAAAACAAACACCAAAGCAAAACAGAAACACCCAGAGAAGAAGAAAAGCAAAGAAACGAAAGCAGACAAGCCGAGAAGCAAAGAAGCAGCAAAACGCAGAAAAGCAAAAAGAAAGGAAAAACGGAAAAAAACGGAGAAGCAGAGAAGCAAAGAAGCGGAAAAGCAGAGCAGTAAAGAAGCGGAAAAGCGGAGAAGCAAAGAAGCGGAAAGCAGAGAAGCAAAGAAGCAGAGAAGCAGAAAAAGCAGAGAAGCAAACAAGCAGAAAAAGCAAATAAACAGAAAGGTGTTGAAGGGGTTGTTGTCGTTGTTGTCGTTGTTGCCGTTGTTGTCCTTGTTGTCGTTGTTGGTGTTGTTCTTCTTGTTCTTCTTGTTCTTATTGTTCTTCTTGTTCTTATTGATCTTCTTGTTCTTCTTGTACTTCTTGTTCTTCGTGTCATTGTCGTTGTCATTTAGGAGCTTAGGTATGGGGGGGTGGGGGGGCAAGGGGTTTGAAGGTTATAGATGATGCTGATGCTGATGCTGAGGCTGTTGGTGATGCTGAATCTGTTGCTCTTGCGGTTGCTGTTGTTGTTGTTGTTCTCGTTGTCGTTGTTGTTGTTGTTCTCGTTGCCGTTGTCGTTGTCGTTGTGGTTGTCGTTGTTGTTGTTGTTGTCGTCGTCGTCGTCGTCGTGTTGTTGTTGTTGTTGTTGTTGTTGTTGTTGTTGTTGTTGTTGTTGGTGTTGTCGTTGCTGCTGTGGCTGTGGTTTATGTTGTTGTCGTGAAGAGAAGAAAAGAGAAGAGAAGAGAAGAGAAGAGAAGGGGCGGGAAGGGACGGGAAGGGAAGGGAAGGGAAGAGAAGAGAAGGGCGGGAAGGGACGGAAGGGAAGGGAAGAGAAGAGAAGAGAAGAGAAGAGGAAGACAAGAGGAAGAGAAGAGAAGAGAAGAGAAGAGAAGAGAAGAGAGAGAAGAGAAGAGGAAGAGAAGAGGAAGAGAAGAGGAAGAGAAGAGGAAGAGAAGAGGAAGAGAAGAGGAAGAGAAGAGGAAGAGGAGAGAAGAGAAGAGAAGAGAAGAGAAGAGGAAGAGAAGAGAAGAGAAGAGAAGAGAAGAGAAGAGCAAGAGCAAGAAACTCAGGCATTCTCATCCAGAGACTACACAGAGGAAGAGAGACGAGCACATCGCATGATAGCACCCAAGCAGAAAGGAGAGAAGCATCCAAGCGCAGGCGAAGAACAGTAAAGAAACACAGAGGCCAACAACATTAAAGAAGTACAAGGGTTAAAGAACCAGGACCATATGTGTTAGGGTCAAAACATGGTATATAATGTATGATCATCCATTCCATAATGGCAATCCTTATCATGGGTATACAAATCCCTATGAATGGATTCATGACAAATTTCTTTTATGGGAAAGTGACCAATGTTTTTGCCATGGCACATCAAACACAAAAAAGTAGAGAAATAAAACAAACACCAAAGCAAAACAGAAACACCCAGAGAAGAAGAAAAGCAGAGAAACGAAAGCAGACAAGCCGAGAAGCAAAGAAGCAGCAAAAAGCAGAAAAGCAAAAAGAAAGGAAAAGCGGAAAAAAACGGAGAAGCAGAGAAGCAAAGAAGCGGAAAAGCAGAGCAGTAAAGAAGCGGAAAAGCGGAGAAGCAAAGAAGCGGAAAGCAGAGAAGCAAAGAAGCAGAGAAGCAGAAAAAGCAGAGAAGCAAACAAGCAGAAAAAGCAAAAAAGCAGACAAGCAAAAAAGCAGAAAAACAGAAAAGCAAACAAGCAGAGAAGCAAAGAAAAAGAATTGAAGCAGACAAATTAATGCGAAACATATTCCCTAAAAGGCAGCCAAAAGCAGAAAGCAATGGAAGGTGTAACAAAAAGGACGAAACACATTCCCCAAACTCACCCGAAAAAAATCTCCTAAATAAATCCCTTCCCATACGTATATATATATATATATGTATTGTAGATATATATATATATTATCATGTATATATATATAATTATATAATTAATAATTACATGTATTGGCATTTACCGTAATGTCATGCAACCGCAACGTATCAGAACTCATGGCACTGCTTTATGTTTTTGCATGGTTTTGTTTTCGTTGCAAACACAACTAAATCGGATTCCTGAACAAACAGCCTCACACACACACAAACACACAAAACACAATATGTACCCTCTAATCAAGCATTGCAATGGAACACCATCAAATTATAGATGATTTTCTCATCACAAACCTATTTATATAGGATCTTAAATTGCTATGTTTGATTACCAAACTGTACTTACAATAATTTTCACACGACTCAAGACACCTTTTGAAGGAACGTAGACATAAGAAGAACCTCTGCCAGCCGCATCATGCGATGCCAAGACAAAGGACGCTGTCTGGGTTTGCGCCCGCTGCACAAACGAACTATCATCATTTTGACGGTGATGTGGACCTTCAATATCGAAGGTTTCCGTATTTGCCATTTTCTGGAGTGGCCATAAACCTGTGACCACAGGTATCGAGCCAAACAAACTGCAGCGTCTTCTTTCTCATTTCCCCAAACATCAGAAACTAATGGACTTCTTTCGGAACTGTTGGTTTGCAGGTTATCTTGTCTGGAACGTGAGCTCAAATCTGAGGAACTTAGCACGCACGAGACTACATATATTTTAGCAAACTCCCTGGCACTGCATGCGGCCCATAACATTCCCATCACCCTCACCCGAGCCTGCACAACATATGCGCGGCATTCGCGAAATTATTGTAGTTGCCAAAACTGTCACTGCCTTGGGGTAAAATGAGGGCCACACAGTGGCCACAATGGGAGCTTTGGGCGAAATTGGGGTCCAACATCCAACACGGTGTTTTTTCATGGTGCTAAATTGCGCAAAACCCGATGCATGCTAATCTTTTACAATGCTTTGAGCAACCTTGAGCCAGGTTGAGCAAAACCATTGTGACACTCCAAGGAATGCCTTACAAAGCATCCTCCCAAATCGTTGGCTTGTTGAAGCCAGTCATCGGAAAGAATAAGGGCTGGATGCCTGCCAGTCCATTCAAACTTCTCCATGGTTATTTCGGTCTGTCGCAAGCTCCCTGCTCTAGGCGCCAGTTCACCCACCAGCTGTCTAGAATATCCCAGATATGGTCTCTGTGCAAAATCCATGGCATGCTGAGCTGCCCTGCATCTGATTGAGTTGAAGTCACCATCGCAGCCGCCATGGCCTCCATGGCCCAGCAGAACTAAGCCCTGCTGCCATGCCCAACTGCGTTTGCAGCTCTCGGCCACGCAATTCAGCAGTATCTCGTTGAGTGAAAATCCGACTTCGAAGGCTTCAGCCATGGAAGCGATGGCTGCTTCCCAGGCAGATCCAGCAACACACGCTGCTCCTACAGCACCATAGGTCACTATGGTACGCTCGCACTGATGCCTAGTGAACTGTGGGAGAAGTGCCAAGGCGAATTGCCACTGCTGACTCTTTTCACATGCGCTCAGAGTGCAATTCAGCGAAGCTGAATCAGGTGTGAGGCGATCTTCCTGCATGTGCTCCAGGAGCACAAGGGCCTGTGCCCAAAGGCCCCGGCGTTCACAAGCATTCAGGGAAGCATTAAAGCTCAACAGGTTTGCTTTACAATGTGATTTTGGATGTCTGAGCCGGTCCAAAAGACAAATGGACCACTGCCATTTGGAAGCCCGCGCGCAGCTTGTGATGACCGTGTTGTACACAGGGGCATCCAATGCTTTGGCCGATAGCTTGCCAAATCTCCGCGACTCTGCCAAGTCGAGGAGATGGATTGCATGTTGCCAGAGGTATTTTTGTGCATAAGAGCTCAGAAAGGCTGAATATATCCCTGGAGTGAAAGCAATGCCTAAGTCTGGCAAAGCGTGAAAGAAAGACTGTGCGGCCTGCCACTGACTTCGGCGTGACAACCTTGACAGCAGACGTGAACAAAATGAGTGACGCCACGGCAGGGACAGAGCAGGCAGGAGGAGAAGAGCCTGTTGCCAATTGGCAGTTTCCACCATGGGGCTGAAGACATCCAGGCTGTCTTGTGCATCTGATGAATTCGCCTTGACCATTCAGTTCCAGCTTGATGTGTGTCCCGGTAGGCAAACACTGAGGCAGCTTGGGCACCATATCACTCTGGGACTCTGGGATTTCCACAGCAGAATCGCAAGCACGTTGGACACCCGTCCACCATGCAGCCGCTTTGAAAGATGCGAAGCTTGATAAGCTTGGCCCGAAATGCGAGGCATGCTGCGGTATGTTCAAACTGGTGAGGTGAACACCTCAGTCCATGGATGAACCAACAATCCCAACATAGTCCATCTGTCAGAAATGAGAAACACCGTGATCTAAAAAAACGAGGAGTTGCAGTGGTGTGAAACCAGCAGTTCCTGAACTTTCATTCAGCAATTCCGACACGAACCGAAGCTTTTTTAGAACCCGGGGGCGACCATCTACGCCCTGGACATGCCCTGCGACACATGACTTCTGGTAACAACAGTCTTTCTCGCAACTTGTTCTGATGGTGTGTAAACTTGATGAGGCAAACTCATGCAACTGAGATCCCTCTTGAAAAAAATGGGTGCCCCTAAATCCACTCATTAATTTCATCCTGTTCTCTGGAAAGCATGGCCCTTGTTTTCGGTGTCAATCAGTCAATCCCCATTTTCACCGGGTTCAACGCCGTCACATAACAGTGCCATTCTCTGCCAAATTGCCATCACCATAAGGCCCTTCTGGATGACCTTCAAACAATCTCAGTGGATCTCAGCGTTTCTCAGCCAAGTGCTGAGTATCAACATACGCTGCTTGGGTTGAGAAATTGTATGACATTTTGAACCCCCCGGCTTGGGGTATGGATGAAATTTCTCACACGAAACGGATGGAGTTTCAATATGTTTCAATGGTGGAAATGATATGAACATATTGTGAAATAAATGAAATAATAAGTGCGTCGAAATGATCAGCTATGATGAGCCATTTCTGGGTCGGGTACCCAAAACCCATCAAAACTAAAACCCAATGACTTGACCCAGGCTGTTCCTGGCCTCCAGCGTCCTCTCGTCTCCTTCGACCTTTCCTGAGATCAAACGTGGTCAATAAGTAGCAGGGCTTCACAAAGGGCTCAAGAGCAGCAATCCACAGTTGCCCCAGGATAGCAAGACTGACACTTCAAATTTCACCTGCAAACGAAAACGTCAAAGCTACCCAAATCTCATGCACTAATGGACTAATCTAAAGAACAAGCTGACGCAGTTTTCGAAAGTCACCTTTTAATGTATGTTGTAAAATTGTTGTGAACAGTTCCTTCTACAACGGGAAACCAAATTTCAACCTCTTGGTGAGGCATGCCCTGTCACCAAATATATGAAGACCGAGCATCGAGTCATTCGTTGTGTTTGGTCTGGATGTGCCACCTGGCACTGGGTAAGCACAAAACATCAGGAACACATAGGAAAACCTGGTTTCCCTAGTCAGTGGCTTTGTAATCTGAGCGACAGGTTCTCATAGGGCCGAAGGGGTCTCAGTACAACTTTCATCTTGCAAGTAAGTTCAGCAGCTGTATATGTCGTACAATTTCGTGCAAGTTGAATAATTCATACCTCAGATACTTTACAGGACGTGTATATATATATATATATGTAATTAGATGCATATATATATATGATTATGATATATATATATGATATATATATATGTAATATAACTATATTTATTATTTAATAATTTTAATATAAAATTATAGCTCTAAAATACTCTGAACATATGCAAACGACTGCAGGGAAATCCCATGACTCGTCCTTTCGTGTTGAGGTATGCAATTTTTTAGCGTCGGTGAAGTGTTGTCGGACTGTTCAAACATGGGTCAAATAAGATCGGAGGATTATGTATAATAATTATGTATAATATATGTATAATATATATATATATAATATAATCTAATATAATATAATCTAATCTAATATAATATAATGTAATGTAATATAATATATATATACTGTTCTACTTTGGATTCTAATTGATTCTGATGGATTTGGGGGAAAAATGGACCCGATCGTTAGATATCATTGGTTTCCCTTCTGCAAAAATGGGTAACGTGGTCCAAACGTTGTCTGCCTCCATCGTGCGGAAGTAAGTCATCGAAGGTCTGGACACGACACGAAAAGCATGGCACTGATCATCCCTTGAAGGATGGTGAGAATCGAAATGGTTAACAGTAATAGTATTCTGGTGTGTAATAATATTAGTATTGTAACAATTACTATTATTACAGTATATTACAGTAATCGAATTCTTACTATTATTACTGGTGTGATTGTTACTATTATTACAGTTATCGAATTACTGGTGATCCACAAAGGTCAGTTTCGCATGGAATGTCATGGATTTCAAGTGAGATTATTATATATCCTCTTTGGTTGGAATATTTTGGAAAAACGACTCGCTGGATTCCTGGCCTTCTTCGCGTTCCGCTTGGTGGCCATGGCAAGGAATGCTCGTTGGGAAGTCTTGGAAAGCAATGCCAATTTTCACTGGGGCTCCAAATTGCGATCTCCGCCCCCTTGAAAGAACTAAGGAATGTCATGAGATGTCATGAGGTTGCACGTTTTCAACAGTTGACGAATAAGGGTTGCAAGGCTTTGCTCCTTACAGTAGCTTCGAAACATCCAGTGAGTTGTGCAACCGATCTGGGAACTGAAACATCAAGAACAAAGCAGCGACATGTGAATGGTCCCAACCAGAATCTTGAAGTGCCGAATCTTGCTTCAAAGATGATCGAAACTTCTTCCATCAAGTATTGATTTCTTTGAAAACGGTCTGCTCTCTTTTCGCAGGACAAAATGCGGGACGCTGGAACACCTCCAGCTTCACAATCCAGGTCTTTGCTCTCAAATGGCTGCACACATGTAGGAACCGCTTCTCCAGACAGTCTTCAAACCAAGGCTCAACACACATGAAAAAACATAAAAAAACACAACACTGGAACAGGAAAGTCAGGGTCCGTCAAAAAGCCGTTTGTATTTTCAGCATGGCAAAGGCAGGCACCTAAAATCCGGTCAGGGCTTGCCTGCACCCAACAAAGCAAGGAGGCCCTGCATGAATTCGGCCACAATGCCCACAAAGCTTGGCAAACAGGTGATGAGTTCAACGATCTGGGCTGCCCAAACCACCTTTGCAATCGAGACCATGTATCTGTGTCTGCACATCTCGACTATTATATAATTATATATAATTATGGTGTGGAGTCAAGTGAGTGTTGAAGTCCTCTTCATGGAGATTTTGCCGGACTTCTCCAATTCCGACATTCTCTAGGGTTTTTTCAAAAACTGAACATGGATCAGCAGTATCTCCATGAGCATGAATCTTCAAGAGCCACCGGCAGGATTCACTGGCAACAACTCCCTCATCGATGACTTCCCCAAGGACGACGAGAGGTGCATTCAGCTGGAGCGTTTGGATCCTCAAAGCATGCGCCTCTTGGCACTTCATCTGCTTTGGCGCCGCCGCCATTGCCCACGTTGATCGGATAATGGTCTCGAAACCTTTGGTGATCCAGAGCCATTCGTTCACTAAGAAGGCTACTCAACCGTTGCAGTTGTGAAAGATAACAAGTTCTTGAGCCAAGAATTGTACATCTAATTATATCTAATTAGTCTATTTTTAATGAATTTTCAGAAGTTTCAGCACCTTTGTCATCCGTATGCGGGCACTTCTCATCAAAGACCAATGCAGAGCTGCCGCGAGACCTCAGGCAACCCAGAGGGGTCGGGGTCCCGTGCCGCGTAGTACCCTGGGTGAAAGTACCAAGATATACCAAGATAGTGGGGTAAAATATGGTAACATATCATTGTTTTGAGTACGTTCTAGGTAATTATAGACATCGTCAGACCATGTAGCCGGCGATGGATCAAAACCATTGTACCCTGAATACCAAACATTTCAAAATAGCTTTAAAAAAAGGATTATTCATCCCCAAAAATCTCAAGAATATATTATGTCGACAGGTTTGATATGTTTTGATCCATCCCCATTTCAATCCCATCCGCGGCTTACTCTCGGAGACACCTCAAAGATGACTTGGGGCCACAGTCGAATAGAAAATCCTGGGCGCATGGTCAAGTTGAATCAAGACTAGTGGGAGCTACACACCTCCGACATCATATTCTGAGAAGGCATGTTGAACTTTATGCATGCATGCGCACACACACACATCTATATCTATATATATACATATTGTATATTATGTACTAGTATTGGCAATTATCATTCATCTTGACACCCTCCAAGCCCAGGCATGGTATTCCAATAAACCATGTCATGCGCCGATGCGCTGCCTCCCAGTTGAGCTTGGAGGGAGCACCCTTGCTGACCTCAATACGATGCTGTCCATGGGCCTGGCCACCTAACCAAAACCGTGGATTCCACGAAAATCCATTCAGTTGATTGGCTATACACACCCTTGATCTTGGCACATATCATCACATATCAGTTCGTTTCAGAGTATGATCCAGAAGACACTGCTTATGATTGCTTATGTGTATATATGATATGTGTACAATATGTGTATATATGTATACATAGCTATGATATGCTATGATTGTTTGTGCAGCATCTCCTCTGAACATCTCAGAACAGAACCTCTGGGGATGCACCATTGACATGCACGAAGGAACCTTGGAGTCTCGGTCTCATGGGCTTGCGTAAACGGTGGTTCCAACATGACCCACTGCACTGGATTTTCAGGGGCGATGGAAAAACCGCAAGTAGGATAGAGTGGCAACTAGACCTAAAAGACATTTCAGAAGCATCTCCTTCTTTCATCTTCTTTCAAGCTCAGCAGTCAGGGTCAACGGCTCCTGCAATAGCTGAGCTGCAAACGAAGGCAATATACCGCCACAATCGTCGCCAAAAGCCCTAGGAAAATGATGACCTTAGCATTTCCAACATGCGAGTTGCGCCAGGGCAACAAGACCAAGTCACACTCCCTCTCATGGATTGCCAAGGTTTAAGGTATCCTCTTGTGAAGTGCAACTACAGCTTGCTGTTGAGGGAAATTCAGGGAATTCAATGACAAAACTTGTGATTTCAATCCAAATAGCATACTTTCGCGCCAGCACCACTGCGCAGTTGCCCACTTTGATGCTGCACACCTGTCAAATAGCAAATATGTACATGGGAGCATGTCAAAAGCTGAACATCCTCCTAATATATCCAAATAGAGCCTACTGCTTGTGAAATCTCTGCATTCAAAGGTCAAACATCTTGATTCATGTGGAACATACGCACCAATGAGTGCAAAATCTGTTCCAGAACTGCACCTAAATTGATTTATCAGGCCATGTACTTTCCTTGAAACGTCTCGATTCTGCAAAAAAAACATCTGCATTTGTTTCAGTGATGCTCAAAGCCACCTTATGGAGGTTTCCGAACGTGTGAGTACCCCTAAATCACTCTAAAGTATCAATATTTAGAGGATTTTCCATGAAATAAACCATCCAGATAGTCGGGATCCCCCATGACTAGTGGGAACCCTCCCGGGCCCTTAGCGCGCGCCCCGGCGCGCGCCCCGGCGCCTCTGTCCGAAATGTGGGCAACGAGATCCGTGACTTGCGTGCGATGACATTCAGACACCGCGGGCCTGGGGGTCGCAGGTCACCAGTGGCTGTGAAGCTGGAAGAAATTGCTATGGGGATAGAATAGGAATGCCATAGGCTAGGCTAATAGGGATATCACGGGGATGTTTCATGGGGATATGTCATGGATATGTCATGGATATGAGTTGATCATTGATCATATGGGACATATTTTCTCGACAATATTGACAACAACTGATCTGTGTGTTTGCCTGAAAATGGGAGATCCCCTCAATTGGCTATTTCAATGGGGAAAATGATGATTACCAATGGCATTTTGGGTATCCCTGGTATCAAACAACATAATAAGAATAATAACAATAATAATAATAATGACATTGACAGTGACATTACAATTCCATGCCATCAAGTACGAGTACAAGATAGTACAAGATAGTACAAGTTTATACGAGAATCAAGGCTGGAGCGCTTGAAACAAGTCTAGAAGATTTCCAAGCGCTGTCTGAAGGCCAGACTTACAAAACCAAGAAGAACAAGTCAAAGCTATCAGTAAAGGACAAGCAAACATATGGGGGTTTCCTACAATATGGGCTAAATATGGGTACCCCCAAATCATCCATTTATAGATGGCTTTTCCATTATAAACCAACCATTTGGGGTATCCCCATTTATGGACACCGCCAGCAGTTCTCGTGAGCCGCAGACAGTGGTGCACCACATCCTGACGGGTTGTGCTGTTGAGCCATTTCTAACAAGACATCTGTTCTGTTTTCCACCACGATATATGTATGAATTTCTCTGAACATGATGGGATATGATGGGTTTCCCCCACATAGTTCGGTGTAAATCTCCATTTTCAGGGACAGCCATGGGGGCCCCTCCGGCACCTTAAAAGCTGGCCACAGAAGTGGCAACACCCAAAAGGCCATCCATCCCAAACTGAACCACACCACGATTGCCAGGAGCCTCAGTTAAGCTGTGGCTGAATAAATATGAAGAGATGGCAAAGAACATCAATCTGGTTGGTGGTTTTAACCATCTTGAAAAATATTAGTCAATGGGCCAATGGGAAGGATTATCCCATATATTATGGAAAATAAAACATGTTCCAAACCACCAACCAGATCAACCAGCAATGTTTCAAGCCGACGGATTCCACCTCAACTGTGGAAGTTCTCAACAGGACAAATCACTGACTTGCTCAAGGATGCAACGTGATGCAACAATCCACTGCCAGATACGTAAATTTGATGCCATCCATTGCCCAGCTGTGAGTCCGGGTCATTGCTATGATGAGCTTCAGACCACGTCACCCATGAAGCCTCATAGTCGATGAATGTGACCTCTGCTGCGTCCGCAATGGATCCATGACAAAGACACATCTGATGATTTCCGATCACATTCCCGAAATCTTCCGAAGGCTTCTAATAAACTCCAGCGTACAAATTCAATTCTATCATATTCTTTCCATATTCTATCAATCTGAGTATATCTGAGTGATCAATACACCATCAACCCCTCGCAACGAGCTTCAAACCACAGCTCGTTCGCAATGAGGACATGTGCACCTTTCGGGCCTCGATTGTGTTCGACAAATGGCTATAAATTTGACCTAATTTGGTCGACCTGGGTTGACTCAAGACGCAACAAAGCATCAAAAGACAACTGTTTGAAGACATGACAACATAATACAACAATATACAACATATATTCACAACAATCATCAAAAATCGGTAGGCTTGACTTGACTGTTAACATCAACAAAATCGGCTTGACTCTTAAAATCTTAGCGAAGTCACAGGTCAGGATGGATTGCCTTGGTTAATTGCCGGCCAAAGTGCGTATCGCCAAAGTTTAACCCCTCATTCGGATCGTCTCGTGCCTGGGAGCTGCCAGCGGCAACGAGCCGTACATCTGGAAAGAGAAAATGTTGCAGTAAAACATATGATAATATATATATATTATACATATATTACATATTATATATATTATATATTATATTATATATCCATATATATATATATCCTGGATCATCCTGGATCTATATCGTTACATCCATCGTTGAATCTTGTAGCAGTCCACTCCTTTTCCGGCACCTCGGTGCTGAACTCGATCAAGGGCCCAAGGTTGCTTCCAGAGTCCACCTTCTTGGGCCTGGTGATTTCACCACGCTGATTCCACGTTGAAAAAATGGTGGTTTTATGGGAAAATCATAGGAAAATCATAGGAAAACCATGGGAAAAGATGGTAGAAGATGGTGGTGAAAGTGGAAAAGATTGAGAAACAGATTTTTGGAAGCGCTTAAAAATGATCCAAACATGAGTAGAGCTGCTACATGCTGCTACTCTCTTACTCTTGGCTTTCACCAGTCACAGCCTGAGGGAGTGATTTTGAGTCTCCAACATTCAATGTCACACAAAGCTGATTGGGACTCCTTGTGAAAATGCATCCAACCCCCAAACCTTCGCACTGAGATCCCAACACCTCTGGGACGGGGTACTGACCTGAAAGTTTGCATCATAAGTCTGTTCAGGACATGCCTAGTTTGCTCCACTAGTTTGCTCCAGCAGTTTTCCCTATCCGAGTCATCCGACTCATCCGAGTCCGGATCTAAGGCAAGGACTTTTGGTCTCGGCCTCGGCTTCCTTGACCTGGCGCCATTCGCACGGTTTCGCACGTCGAGATGTGTCCCATTCGCATCAATCCAGGACAGCGACCTTCCGTCGCTCTCGATCTTGCCCTTCATGGCGCATGATTTCCGAAGGATCACACCAGCTATCACCAGCTGCTTTTCAGCATCTAAAAACCATGGATGCTGTGGATGCTCTCAATGTCGAGAGGGAGATAGTCGACCCGGTCTTTGAAGCGTGACAACTAGGAATACAAGCAGAGACCCAATCAAGTACAGCGTGGCATTTGACCATGTGATTTGTGTCTGGTGAATGCTTGATGTCTGCAGGCTGCAGGGGTTATATATGTCTTTCAAGACACTGGAGGCAAGGGATCAAACATGATCAAACCATGTCTGCAAACCATGTCTGCCCCGCAGTTGCGGTCACACTCCACAAAACAGAACAACTCTGCTTAAAACAGCATGCAGCCCTTCACATCCCTTCATTATAGATATAGAGCTGCCATCGCAGTATGAACATGGTTACAACATGTTACACCATGTTGCAGCCTCAAAGAGGTTACCATCGATGGGTGGTTGTGCATACGGACGCACTGCCTCTTCACATCCAATGATTTCAAGCATCAGAGGGTGGTCATGCAGATTCGAGCCATGACCGCTGCCTTGCTGTGCCACCAATTTCAATCAGGATTACAGTGATATAAACTAACGATTCCTATCGTTTGTATTCGTTTGTTACTCCCGAACTGGCAGGGCACGGCAGGGCAGTCAGTACACGACCAAACTGGTGGATTGCAAGGGAAGTCGATCATGAGACCAGCTCAAGTGACTCAAGATATCTCAAGATCTTAAGGAAAATCGCTATAGGATACCCATGGATACCCCCCAAATTTCATGGTGCTGCGACATGGTCAAGTTACTAAAGGGCTTTCGTATCGCCTGCATCAATTTTTTGGATTCCGAAAAATGGCTTTCATGGACCGGCGATCATCCCATTTCATGGGAAAATAAACGAACTTTCGATTTTGCTTGCTTATAATGTATATATATATACTATATATAATATATATATACTGTGTGTGTATATATATATATATGTACACTGTATTTATCTCCCATTATATCTCCGTTTACCATGGCACACATGGCTTTCCTCAGACCTGATTTTGTCACTACATCGGGACCGGTTCCCTTCTGCCCAGGACATCATCTCAAAATCAGTCACATCCAAAGCAAAATAGCAAGCCGCAAAAGATCCGCAAGTAAAATCCTACCAGAATAGTGGTTTAAGTCTGTGAATGTCTCTGACACTATCACGACTTGCTGTAGGGCAGGGCTGAAGTCCTTTTCTTGACGTTGCACCTCCGTGGAGATTTTTTTGGAAATGATCAATCGATGAAAACTCAGCTCTTTGGAAGAGAAGTATCTGAAACACCTAGGCGGTGAGAAAATAATCAAGACTTGGAATCATCAAGACTTGCAAATAAAGCACATAATGTGCTTCGTTCTGGATTAACCTCCAATGAGACCCTTGTTCCCACAGCTCAATAGACGATCAGGCACCACTTTTCAGGGTTTGATAAGAATTTGGCATCGTGATTTGAGCTTTTGAGCTTTTGCTCGCAAGAACACGTTGTGTTCTCACCTGTTATATGAAGATAATATAAGATCATTTCCCACAACGATCCCCCTTGCAATCCTAAAGACGTGGCGCGAATCCACCACGCAAGCTACTTGCAGTCAGACTTCCAATGGAAGATCCGCCCTTCCACACTTCTGTGGCTGGAGCGTCGTAAATCGTTGGACACATCCAGGAAAACATCTGACAGATGGTTGACAGTTGGACAAGTGGATCATGTTGGCCCCATAATACCCGAAACATTGCCGCCGGAAACATGGTGTTTTCGAAAAATTGCACAAAGTTGCCTTAAAATCCCAAAAAATCCCACTTGCGCTGGATGTGAATGCTTGGCACATTCGGTGTCCCTCACATGCCACTGCTCCGTTGGACATTCCGCAGCTCTGCCTGAGGTTTTGGATGTTGTCCTAGCCACAAACCAAGGGTGGAAGCCATTGACCAATATCACCTGTAACCTTCGCTGCCTATGAAAACTGTGATTGGTGCACTCTTGTCCTTGTAAAGATTACCTTCAAACAAGAGATATGGCTGATATGGCTCTTGATCTTGCAATGATACAAGGGCAATATGGAGAGGTTCATGTAATTATCCATATGCAACCCTCTGGAGCTGTTGCGAACTACTGAATATTAGTCAATACGATACAGGTCAATATAGGTCAATCATGGTCAATACATAACGGCAAACACACACACACAAGTGTCATGCAATCTCTCCCTTCCGAGTCTTTTGAGGAGAGAAAAACTGTGGCTTCGGACATGTTTCCATGACTTGCAACCACCGCATTCAATTTTGACATATTTTGACTACATAAAACTACATAAATCAGTCCTAAGGACTCTGTAACTAGTTAATATATATATATATATACCAGCACACTCCCTGTGCCCACTTTGATGTTTCCCAGTAAACAGGTCACTTAAGTGGATACTTCTAAAAACGTGATCAAAGTGTCCACTTAGCAACTTATCAAAGGGTCACTTATGCTGTCAAAATGGTCACTTTACACCCCTTAGATCTCCCGGGTCTAAGTTCCAAGGTTTTAATCAATCTGAGGTAACAAGTAACCCAAATGCTTGGAGAATATATGGGGTAGACCAGTTGGCCAACAAATAGATTCATACCCATTAACCCTTCACCCTTCTCTGCTGCGGCTGCGCTCTGGTGGCTGTTGCTCTTTGTCTCCATCTTGACGGAGGAGTCCCAGGGAGGTTCAAGAAACATGGGCGTGCGTGAAAATCATACATTTTGTATGGCACACACATACACCATGGCCATAATTTTAATTGGTAAGCACTTGGCGACGCCACCTTGTGCAAACAAAGGCGCAGTATCTCTGCAAAACTTGCATTTCAAGTCCAGTTGGCACTGCAAGAGCTGCCATTTTTTTAATTTTTCCTACATAATCTTCGTCTGCGTAGCACGCAACCCATAAAGGGTTGCATCTTTGTGCTTGGTCCATGACCACATGGTCAAGCCTAAGCCGAGCATGACAGTAGTGGCCATCTTACTGTGTGAACACTATACCCATGCCATGATTATGTAGGTGCAGTCAAAAAGCTGATGTAGCTTTGGACGGATTTTCCACAGCAGCTCACGTCTCTGTATGGAGTATGATGCCATCCAGTTCAGGGATATATGGAAGATGAAATTCGCTGCCTGAGGTATCATAAACCATGGCAGCAAACTGAACACACAAAATTTCCCACCACCACACCACGCATCACTAAAACCAGTTCAAGACACTTGAAGGTCCCGAAGCTTGTTCTCGGGCATGATGGTCTTACAACCATGCATTGCCTGCCGTATGAGCACCATGTTCACAAACACCGCCGCTCGCATCCTTAGCCACATTGTATGACAAAGTTTAAGGCTACCCTTCCCATAGAGGCAAACACAAATCTTGGTAATTTTGAAAAAATATCGACAAGAAACTGGGCATGTTCATCATCCGGATGTTCCATAGCAACCCCCAAGCAAATGCCCATCAGCCATTTGATAAGGACAACTGCTTCCTCATCATCGTAAATGGGGTCACAACAAAGCTTAACATATCACATGCATGCATGCATGAAAAACAATAATCGAATCCATTTGCAGAGCTTTGAACCAAACCCTTAGCCCCTGGCAGCCGCATTGAAATGCTTCTGTGCCACACTCGGGAACGACTTGCCACCCACACAGTTCAAGTGCTTCCTAGGAAAGGCAAAAAAGTCAATGCTATAGTGAATTGCAAAGGCTCACATCTTTTCATTGGTTGTCTTGCACATAAAGCCCAAGGATCAGTGAATAGACAGATCCCCGGTTTCCTGAGTTGTTTGAACACAAGGGGCCATGCCCACAATCCCATTGGTCCAACATTAGTGACGCTCAAAAACCAGCAAAGCAGCGGATCTTGCTTGCCCGACACTGGGCTACAAATTCCACATGAGCAGCACGGAGTCGCTCGTCGATGTTGTCACCTGGAGGCATGCAGGTACATCTCACATATTATATGGTTATAAGCTAAAATCTATGCAGCACACATTCGACCCAGTCACCCTTCCAAACAATGTCATCCTCACATAGTTCCACAAGCGCCTTACTATTCAGAAGCACGACAAACCAAACATCCCCCATGAACAAAACCATCGATGCCCACTGCACACATGTACACTAGTGTATTCATGCAAGGGGCTGATGCCCCAATTTCTGGAGCCAAACCCAAATCCATTATATGGAGGTAGTCCAGTCCCAGGATGCTGATATCCCATCCGGGCATTCGACACCAGGCATTGTTGCGACAGCCATGGACAATGAATTCCTCGGTTGATACCTGAGTGCAGGCAATAGGGAACCCCACTAGCACAAACATACAAACACCCCAGAGTCAGGTTCAAATTCAAACGCCAAAACATGGAAAAAGAACATCGGAAACAATCACAAGCAAGAAACAATGGTCGACCGATGTGGGGCATGTGGACCATGCAGTGTGTAAGCCATACTTCCAGATTTTGTAGCATGACACAGCCAACACACCCTTTCGCTCACCCAACTGTTGTGAGTGTGGTAAGCTCGCTGCATATACTTGGCATCACCTTTGTGCAGTACCAACACACCTCGATAGTTTTCTGCTATGGGTTGGCCAGCTTTCCCCTCACGGCATTTCAACGGTCGGCCCCATGGGTCATTGGCGAACCATTTGCCCTCAGCTAGCTCTGTGAGACTCCAGGAAACCCATGTGTCCAAAGTGTCCCACGTCTCATCAACACAGTGCTGGTTGTCAGTCACATACACCAGCATACGTGCATCCCAAGGAGACATCTGGCCCACTGTAACAGATGACATAGTCATCACACAAAACGAACGTCGTCGGTGTGAGTCTGCGTCATCAGCGTGGATGACAAGCCCTATGGTTTTCGTGAGGTCAACGTCCTCAGGTACTGTTGCAAATACATTTGACCTAGCGCTAGCATTTATTGATGAAAAAACTGCAACAACTGATACGCAGCCAAAATTCTTCTCGTGAGAGGACAGGATGATTTCGGAAAAATCGAGTATCCCGATTTCGTTCCCAGAATTGCTCCAGCTCCTGTGACCGTCCCAAGAATAACATAACAAAATAAGTCAACACATGCCATATGGTAAGCACATGTGCATAGCATGCATGAATATGTGTGGCATGTTGAAGCCAAGCTACTCCCTGCTCACCCAAGAATCTCTTCTGGAAGATCTTCTTGTCATATGCATATAGTGATGCAAACCTTTGGGCAGTGAGGGGGAGTTCCCAAATGAGTTGTTTGACCATAGCCAAGAAGCATCTCAGAAGGGAGGAACATCGGCATGGTGGATAGTACATATTTCGGATCCAGTCGATGATCAACTTTCACTACATCTATCCTTGGTAAGCTGTTGGCATTAGTTTTTTTTTGGTCTTGGTTTGGCTCATCTCTGGATATCACAAGGGTGTTTGCATGTGTTTGCCATGTACAGTATGCTGTTTCGTTTTCACTAAATGTTTGCAATCCAAATCTCGACCAAATTTGGGGGAGCATGGATCTCCACTCTTGGCGTTCCATCCACCTCCAGAACAACCTAGGGGCATTTGGATTCTTCACTGTATCAGTTGCCTTCCGAAGGCCAACCAAATCTTTCAAGCCTTTCCTTGGGGAGAGCGAGAGAGCCAGAGTGGGTGAAAGGATCTAGGGTAAGAGGATTATATACTAGGTGTTTTGAGTACCTACCCCATGTACCACCAAGATTCGATTGCAACCGTTGGGGAAATCGTCTGGAGACAGCTTCCAGCATGGCAACCAGTGTTGTAAGACTAACCTTGGTTATCATGCAGTGCGTTCATAGGATGAACCCATAAGTGAAACATATTGATTTTGAAAGTTGTCAAAACTAGTCAGATAAGGCACCTCTTTACCAAGTTCGAGGAAGTCTTCAACCAAGTCCATCGCATCGACATGGCTCGCAACATATTTCATATCAAATTGTTATGTTTAAAAAGTAGTACTGTATTGGGATATATTGGATTGTTAAACTACTATGAAGGGTGACTCATATAATTGTTGGGGATATCTTGGAGTTGTTAAACCATGAAGGTTGACCCATACTTATTGGTTGTCTCAACATGTGTTGGAACCAATGCTGGCACACCAGGAGCCTACTTCCAGACCAAGATACCCGCTACCTAAGGCTTGCTGCGGGCACCAGTGACAGGAGGTAACAAATCAATACCTACATCCAAAGGAATGTTCTGAAGAAAGTGTTGCACGTTGAACAAAGCAGCGCTCATGCATTTTTTTAACCTCAAAAGCTGCCCCTGTGTTGGATATTGATGACTCAAGCCATTCCCGAGGTCCCATCAGTAACTTCCACGAAAAAAATAGAATGTTTAGGACAACCTGACCTCAGGCTCTAAGACTTGCCTGTCCCCCCAAAATGGGCCAATTGTTGGGCCCAACCTCATCGGAATATAAGTGGGTACACCCACTTAACATCACAATAATCCCCAAGGTCCGTTAGAGAAGACTATTATGTCATGGGGGATCAGTGGGAAAACCATATACTCTTCCCAACCAAAATGGACAGTATACACCATAGCAATTGTGTTTACAAAATCGAATTATCTATTTTTTTTGAAATGTGGGTTTTCCAAAGTATGGACCACATGATTCCCAATCTGACTTAAGTGGGTGCACCAACTACTCTGACGCTTCATCTTCAGAAGCGCTGTGCTCAGGCCCTGTAGCTTCAGCTGGAGCCTTACGAGGCTTGGAACCCTTCTTCAAGTTGATGCGGCGCTTGGCATCTTTGATGTCATTCTCGATGGGGGCGAACCAAGCCTTCTCATCTTCCAGCCACCTGAGGGAATAACTTGTTGGGTTAAGATATGGGGGGTCCAAGATAGCTTTCACTTTCTGGGGCATTGGGGAAACGTGGAATCAGTGCAGAAGAACGAGAAGTCTAGAAAGATCTTTTATGGAAGAAGATCATGGAAATCTAGGTTTCGGTAACCCCAGGGGCACAACCATAAACAAGCTAAGTAACATAACCAATTCTTCTGCGATCACTGAGCTGGGTGGCAGTGAACTTTTATCACTCGCGTCCCCAAAGTGTTCGCGAATGGTGCTCCAGTGCGACTCCAACGCTTTCACCTAGGCTTTTATGTTTCTATTGTTGGCAGGGAAAATTGGCACTGATCTGCTTTACCAATGTTTCATAAGTTAATACGAATAAGTCAGGGAACCAGTTCAGAACTGTTTGGGATCTGTAATTCGCCCATCTCAACGATCTTGGACTCAAGCTCATTGATAGCTTTCTTCAACCTGGGATGTGAAAATATTAAGTTCACTACAATTTGAATTCCAGCTAGCTGTATGGATATGTGTGGAATAACAAAAACATGTGGGTGCAGGGCTAGGAACTTGGCGACATATGCTTTCACATCTTTGAGAGCCATTTCTTCAGGGGACTTCTCCTTTGACTTGCCCTTTCGCTTGGACTTGATAGCCCCAGTCTTGAGGTCTACCAACCCCATATTGTCAAGATCGTTCACATTTTTGGCAATTGCCTTGGCAACAGCTTTCTTGGCAGCCTCCGATCTCACTCGCCCACCCACAGCATAATTTGACTCACCCCGGGTTTTCTCACCCTTCTCCTCTACTATCTCCGCAAGGACCTTGTACATCTTAGCTTTGGGGTTGTCGGATTGTGGGTGTGGAGTACCCGTCTGGCCTCAGCGTGGCAGGCAAAACAAAGAGAACCGAGAAACCAGAAGCAACTCGAGACCGAGGCAGATGGACATGGGAAGGTGCTACAGGGATATGGTTGAAACCCTTGAAAAAAAATAGGCCTAGATTCAGGACAATACTTGCACACTGAAGCCAAAGTACCTTTGATCAAATCAGCAATGAACTTTTGGGCCTCACTCGAAGTTCCGTATTTTTTTTCAAGCTGGAAAAGTGTCATGGTGATATAGCGGTCAGTGCGGCTTTCCTTAGCTGGCTCTGAGTTAAGATCTTGAGGGATATGACATCTAGCAAACATACTTGGCCAATGACACATTCCTGAATATACCAAGTTGTTTTGTGCAAACTAGTTTCTTCAACCATCTTCACATATCGCTCTTCAACATGGATCGAATCCAAGCTGTCATTAACGAGCCATGTTTTCAACATGCTAAACCTGACAAGGTGCAGAAACTTGTGTTTCGTGTACAGGGGTAGCATTGGATAATGGTGGTATCTTTCAAATGTTCTGATGAAACAAATTACGCACCTCTCTGTGTCACTGCAATTCTGCATCTTCATGACCAAAGCAGGGTTGCAGCTCCGGTTCACAGCTCGGCGCAAAGCCGAGTATTGCCTCTTACGCTCCTCAGTGGCTTCTGTGGGTGAGCAAGACTTTCCCCCATATGATATGTCAACATCATTTCTCAAATTTTCACGAAAATAGCATTGTTCCCCCAACATGTCAATCATACATATAGATCATTCCCCCA